AAATTAAAATAACAAACAAGGGCCCATTCATACCTCATATACAAATATAAAAACATACAAGGGCTAATGAAATAGACCGAACGCGTTTCGGCCTTTACAGGCCTTCCTCAGAGGTCTAATACAAACAGAACATGTTGGCTGATATGTAAAAATATATACAATCATACATATAAAATATATGGAATAGAGACCAGAAAACAATTGTTCCAAAGTTTAACCACTGGGCAGAGAAAAGAAATACAAAAATACAAAAAGCCTCCAGTGTAATCACATGTCCAGTAGTACTTCTCTCTGGTCAACTATATATTCTCCTGAGATTGTACAGCCAAATGTTGTACAAATGTTGTAAAGGCCGAAACGCGTTAGGTCTATTTCATTAGCCCTTGTATGTTTTTATATTTGTATATGAGGTATGAATGGGCCCTTGTTTGTTATTTTACTTTGTGTTGAATAAATACATGTATATTTTTGTATGTTTCATAATTAGATTTTTAGAGTTGGCCCTCTTCTATTCTTGACTAACCTTTTTAGGTCCTGAAACCTGGTATTTCTGGCCACTGTGTGACACAGAGTGTTGGGCTGGATGGGCCTTTGGCCTGATCCAACGTTGGCGTCTCTTATGTTCTTATGTAGTGTCCTCCTACGGCTGCCCATCTTGTACTAGTCCTGAGCCTCATTAGGGCCCCTCGGTGATGCCGCCTTCCCCGTTTGAACCCCGGCTGGAGGGGGGAGGCTCAGACCTGACTGGCCGTTCTGCCGGAGCAGCGGAGGGTGTCGCAGCGGGCGGCTGGGTGGGGTGCAGCCTCTTGGTTTCAGACCAGTGAAGGTGGGAGTGCCGCAGCTGACCCTTTGCAGGCAGGTATCCTGCAAGGACCAGCACTTGCCGCTTTCCCTTATCGTGGTGGCAAAGCCAGGACCGGCTTTACGTGAAGGTGGCCAAAGCGTTTTGGAGGAACTCTCATAAAGTGCCACAAAAGAGTGGGAACTCAGCCATGGCCCCCGTGGCTGTCTGTGGCAGCCGTCTCTGCCCGTCTGCACGCCAGGCAGTTCTGTGCAGAGTTCACAGTCTTGGGTGAGCGGCCGCTTACGGCTGCTTCCTTGGTTGTCGGAGTGCCGACGTCTCATGCGAAAACTTACAGCTGCAAACCTAAGCCTGTGACTGACTGTACACGAGCACACACCCCAGTCTGAAGAAGTATGTTCCGTACGATACCCGTTTGTCTCGATTCACACATTTGTACGTAGGCCAGTAAGGCCCGTACCTAAAAAGGTGAAAGGGGCACTCAGTCCTAACCAATGCTCCCTTTAAGCCATGGGTTCTTATGAGCAAAAGTTCTACTTTGTGAGCTACTAACATTGAAGTTGTGAGCCAGCAATTTGGCTATTGCATAAATCAGTTTGCTCTGGAGCCACATCCTTCCTGAGCCGAGACAAAAAATGTGTGAGCCGGAGGCTAAAAAGCTGTGAGCTAGTTCACACTCAGCTTAGAGGGAACACTGGTCCCAACGCCTTCTGAATGGCCGGGAGCTATTTCAGGTGTTCCTCTCTATGGCCTTGGGGACGCCAAGTCCAGCGGTGGACCTTTGAGCGGCAGACCCTCGCAAACTCTGGGCGGAGCTCCCCTTAGTTTCAGAGGGGGCTTCTCCCCATGGCGAGAGAGGCCTCTCTGAGGGAGACATCTAAACCACCCTTGAACGTCCTCCCGAGTTCCTCACGCAGCTCTTTGGATCCAGACCGGTGTCCAGAAGAGAGCTCGGAGAGGCCAGTCGCCCCTCGAAAAGCTCCTGCTCAAAGCGAGCTCCTTGGTTAAGTGGAATCTCTTTAGGAATCTGCGCCGTTGGCCCGTAGGTAGAAATGCATGGCAGAGCGCCCTCCCGCAGTATCCTGTGTGCGGGGTCTGCAAGTGTGAATGTATCCGAACAAGGAATGTGAAGGGGAAGGAAGCATTCCGGAACAGCTGAACAGAGCGGCATGAAGCCGCCACCTCTCCCTGTGTACCTTTCAGCACCTAATGCAAGCCACGCATCTGTCACGCATCGCCTCCGCTGGCCGGTCGTGCCAC